TGGAGGAGCAATACCTTGGGTGTTACAGATGCATAGAAACTGCATTTGATTCAGGAAATCCCTGAAGATAGTTGAAGGTTGGGAGCTCATTCAGCTTGACATGCTTGAAGTCTTCCCTGGGCACCCACATCTGGCCATTGCTGGAAGCAGGACCCAGCACTAGGCAGATCCTTGGTCTGGCACCAGAGGGATATGTGCCTGAGGAGGTGGACAGCTTAGTTCAGATCCATGCTTCATTTCCAGGTGAGAAAGTCTGGTGAACAGGTTGTTCATTTGGGTAGCAATGACATGGTGCTAGACTGGGAGGATGAAGGGGAGGTGGTGATGCACCTTGAGCTTTATGCTCTACAGATATACTCATATAGACAAGCACTGCTTTTTTTAAGGGTCCCTGAAGACCATGAAGCAAGGCCAGATCACAGTGAGACATGGTGAATGCTCCATCTGTGGCAGTGTTCAAGGCCAAGCTGGACAGAGCCTTGGGCGACATGGTCTAGTGTGAGGTGTCCCTGCCCATGGTAGGAGTTTAGAACTAGATGATCCTAAGGTCCTTTCCAACCCAAACCATTCTATGATTCTATGACTCTAAGTGATCCCAGTGTATGGAGGAATATAAGTTGACAGGTCTGCTTTCTATGTCTCTCACCAAGGATACAGGTGTCCCTGTGATCAAGAAGCATTTGCTAATACATTCTTCCAGTGAAGCACTTTTCCAGTCCTTAGAACCTCTCCTAACAGCTTTACACAAATAATATTGCCTCTGCTTTTTAAGGTCATGAAGACTCTTTTTCTTTACTCTTAACAAAGGCTGTTGGAGCAAGTGGGATAAGTGACAGCATGTAGATTTGATCTGTATCATTAATACTGACTTCTAAAGAAGGCAGTTCACACAGGGCAGGTGACAGGATCAAACACATGGTTTAAGCAGGCACAAGAAGAATAACCATCTGTCTTCCCTGCATCCTGAAGCTCTCCAGAGCGTGTAAACGACAACACTTTCATGTCACTAGATCAGCCAGCTGGAACAGTCCTGGGACCACTTCTCTCAGCAGTTAGCACGGCTCAGACACAACCTCCCTGCACGGGAATCACAAGGTCTCTTTCTAGACGTGCTAAGAGAACTAAAGCATCACCTCTCAGAAATGCTGCAGTGACCTGCGCAGATTTACTCGCACTATTGGCTCCTGCTGGGCAAATTTAGGATAGTAAAATGTACCTTGTGGGCTACACATTATAAGCCAACAAAATATGTTCTCCTACAGTATGGTGGAATAGGGTTTCGGGAGCATCAGGAGCATGTTGAGCCCCTGATGTCGTATTTATCTCCTGTCTGGCACTGGCAAACCTTTAAACGTATTTAGGATGTGAGGGCATGCAGGAGAGGTGGAAGGTTTGGTAGAAACCTCAGGTTAATTTCAATGTGTGCTCAAGTCATAGAGCTTCAGTTTTGGAAAGACCCTTGGGACTTTGAGGGATCTGCAGCTTGCACTGAACTACTGACAGCCAGGTACCATGATGAGACATGAACTGGACAAAATCCATGCCTCAGGCACTGGTGCTGGGAGCAGTTTGCCAAGTCAGCCTCATGTCTAGCCTTTCCAAGGTAACTGAGTTCAGTGGCCATTGCAGAACTGCTACCTGAAGCCATTAGGAACGCCTGTCTTAATAGAGAAAACTGCAAGCCCCAAGGGTTGTGTTGTGATTTCTATAGGAGAACTGCAGGGATCCTCCCATGCCAATTGCTGCAGGGCCTTCCTGAGGGTCTTTGCCTAGGAAGTGGACCCAGAGGTGAATTAACAAGGACTGGCATGGCAGGGGAGGTCTGTACCCTGCACCAGACCAGAAAGCTCCCCTGTGCTGCAGACAGGAGAATTCCCCTTGCATTGCATGCTGAGGGTTTGAAAACTTCCTCTCAGGTCTGATTTTAACTCACCAGTGGTGTCAAAAGCAAGGCATAAACTGACCCATGGCCATGGTGGTGTGCAAGCCCATGGGCAAAGAGCTACACAGCCTACACCCTCTTACTCGCTTCAGGGAATGGGCAAACCCATGCTCTTCATCCCTAGGAGGACCAGCCCTGCTCTTCAGGCAGGTGATGCGAGCAAGCTCCATCTGCAGCAGCATTCATGGTGAGCCTTGCACATGGGGATTCCAGCTCTTTTGTGGCATGTGTTACTGATGCCGCTTTCAGTAAGGATTCACTAATCTGTAGGGTAGCTTTTCCAGTCGGAAACCCTAACAGCTAGAGAGAAATTAAGCCGGAATTGGAGCTGCACCAAGAACATTTGAGTAATCCATCCGGCTTAAGCAGGATCTCCCAAGACAAGAAATCTCAGAGAGAGCCTAGGAAGAGATTATAAAAGAAAATAAACCAAGGCACCACAGTCATGTGCTGGTGGGATGGCCCAGCAGGAATAAGAACACATGAACCTGTACAGGCTGCTACAAGCACAAGTCACAGCTGTGACCAGAACTTCTTTAAGAAAGAGGAAAATGGCATCCTTCAGGATCTATAATTAATTTTTGTGGCTTTCTCCTACAGCATCTTCTGCTGCTGCCTTTCCCTGAGTACCTGTGAGAGTACAGAGGGGGAAAGCTAAGGAATCCCATGCATAAAAGTGCATGCTTGGGTTGAGCTGCAGCCTGTTGGGTGTATTTCATAGAATCCCAGACTGGTTTGGGTTGGAAAGGACCTTAAAGCTCACCCAGTTCCAACCCCCTGCCATGGGCAGGGACACCTCAAACGAGACCAGGTTGCTCCAAGCCCCTGTGTCCAACCTGGCCTTGAACACTGCCAGGGATGGGGCAGCCACAGCTTCTCTGGGCACCCTGTGCCAGCACCTCAGCACCCTCACAGGGAAGAACTTCTGTCTTAGATCTAACCTGAACTTCCCCTGTTTCAGTTTGAACCCATCACCCCTTGTCCTGATGAAGAGTCCCTCTCCAGCATCCATGTAGCCCCCTTCAGACACTGGCAGCTGCTCTGAGGTCCCCACGCAGCCCCTCTTAGCACAGAATACACTAATACCATACCTGTCCTCAGCAGGAAAAGAACAGGAAAAAGGCACACTGTGATCACCTAGAGCTACATCCTGACGTTGGAGAGCCCAGAGACCCTTGCAGTGGTGTTTCTCACAGCCTGAAACCACATTACAGGGTGGCAGCAGCTGTCACTAGGTAGCAGTACTGGGATTTTACAGGCCATTTCTCAGCTCATTCCTGCTTTTTCTGTTGTGGAATAATGACAGTCCTGAGGTCAGAAGATTCACCTTTACCATGTAACCCCACCAGCACGACCACCCTGCCTCTCATTTCATCTTGTTGCCACACCAAGCAGGGCACCTTGCTGGGGACAAGGGCTGGCCAAATCGCTTTTACCTCCTGCAAAGGCATTGCTGGCTAACAACGTGCAGCACGCTTCTCATCCCAGATCCCACAAGAAGCCAGAGCAGCGTTCCTCCTGGTTGCACACAGACACATCCCAGCTCGAGGCAGTGGCTACACAGGACAAGTAAATTGCTCACAATAATACCATTAGTTGTCCTCACTTAGGGGCACTGCCTTGAGGCTCAGTGAGACTTTGGCATATAGAAAGGTGGGTAAGCACAGAAAGCAGGAGAAACCCGAGCACAGACAAAGGGGACTTGTGTCAGAAGTAAGTGGGAGAGGATAAGGACTGCCAAGCTTTTAAGAGGAATTGGAATTTAATGAAGTGATTGAGCAAAGAAATTGAAAGCCTCCTTTGCCTCCTGCAAGGGTTGAGCGGATCTGAGCAGTACTTGGCTTGGCTGCATGACAGGGTTGTTATTTGATTTTAAATAACTTGGAAGCTTTCAATGTACTTCATAATTCTATTGACATTTATGATTTGAGATACTTGATCTTGAAAACACAAACACAATGCTGATCTGCCTCTCACCCAGGAGAACTGGGAATCAGTGCCTGCAGCTCTTTAACGTAGCTGATCTGGGCTCTGTTTGCCATGGGCTGGCTTTTACCTAGCTCTGTCGCTGGTACCACACAGGGACCTTGCACTTTGCAGAGCTGAATTATTCAATACTGAGTAATACCTTTAAAATTAGATTGCTCCATATTTACCTTGCAAGGCTGTGGCTCCAGTCTTGCTCCTGGGGAAAGCCTGGGCACCCCTTCCATGGCGTGCTCAGGCTGGGATCCTTCCTCCCATAATCCTGGCTGGAATGAGTGGAGCCATGGCCACATCATCCAGACATCAACAGCAAAGCTGGTGCAACTTGCTCTTGATAGACCCCTGGCTGCATGGAGGAACCAAGGATTCAACATCACAGGCTCATTCCTGGGTACCCCAGGGCATCCCCAAAGCTACAGCTGACCTGTGTGGATGGTGGGGTGTGTGCACATGACATCGTACAGCAGAAACTGGCTGGGTACCTTGGGGTCATTCTCCCTCCTCTGTCAAAGGTTCCCACAGGAACCAATATGAGAAATATTGGGATATTAAGTCTTATAATTAGGATCAATATCCAATTCCTATATCTCAAAGCTCAAATCTCTTCACATGAGAGTGTTCATGTTGCCAGTAATCATGTGTATTAAAATGGAAGAATATATGTGGCCAGCCTGACATTAATTAGGATCTGATTCCGCTCTTATTAACAGGCATGCGATTCCATTGACTAAACAAGATGTTGTACCCTTAAACAGACTTTGGTCTTTAATTTTCACACCATGAGATTGGCACTGATGTTTCAAAGCCATTACAGCAGCAGAAAGCTTGACCCTTGCTGTTTGCTACCAGCTGTATTTGCAGAGCATGACCATTCGATTACACCCATCAGTTAGCGAGGGAAGAGCACGTGGAAGATCAAAAGTGCCATGATTATTTCCATGATTTTCCCAAACCAAAGGTCCGATGCCGAAGCCATGTGTGTCAAATGTCAAGCCCTCCTTCCAATGCTTTCTTTCTGAGCAGACCCTCCCCAGATGCCCCCATTATTCTGCCTCCATCTGTGGTCTGAACATGCACTCAACGCACTGCAGGGATGGTGGAAGGTGCATGTGAACAGGGCAGCAAAGCAAGGTCTGATTTGGACTTCATAACCGTGGTAAGGAGCAGAACCTAACACCCACCTTAGGTGTCAGCACAGAGGGAGGGTGCACTGGCGATGGGGCAGTGTGTGATCACTGCTCTGGGATGGCAGCTTGAGGTGAGGTGGTGGGGGGACACCAGGGAGCAACCAAAAATGAGAGGAAAAAGGGATGGCAAGGTTAAAAACATACTCTTGCCTGCCTGACACTAAGCCCCGTGCCTGGCTGGTGGTGTGCTAGGACGTGAGCCCGAGCATGGGAAAGCAGATGGAATGGCAGATTTGGACCAAGTGGAACACCCCAGAGCCTCACAGGGAGACAAGGCTGCCTTCTGTGGGAGCCTTTGCCAAAAATCCCACCCCCCTCTGAGCATCCACAGATGCCCTGCATGTCCATACAGCCAAAGGGACGCAGCCAGATGGGAGCTGGGAATAAGGTAGCAAACAGCAAACCCGATGGAATTTTTCCACTGGTTTTAGTGGACTTTTGATCAGGCCCTGAATGAAGCAGAGCTTGGGCGTTTGACACCAAATCCTGTCCCAGTTTTCCAAAGACAAGGAGGAGGGTCAGGTATTAAAATGGGAAAAACAGGAGGTGAAGCTGCCTCTCGGAGGGGGTTCTCATCTGTAAAGCTTCTGCTGTTCACAGACCAGCGGGCGCAGAGGAAAGGGGAGACAAAAGGGCCCAAATCGCTACGTGAGGGAAGGATTTGCAGTGCTGAGATGCAGAAAGCCTGCCCCTTGAGAGATGCTGTTTCTGATCTGCAGGCACACAAAGCCTTTGTAATTGCCAGAGTCATTATTTGCTGTAGATGGCAGAGAGGCATGACAGGTACTGCAGGACACATAATAAGCTGGAATGAGCACTGATGTTCACCCAATACCATCAAAGATCGGGCTCATCACAGGATCCCATTTAGAGTCCACAACAGCAGCCCTGATATCGCTAAGGAATACGTTTCATCTAAGTGCAGACCTCACTCATTGCAGTCCATGGCTGTGTATTTGCTATCTCCTCCTCTGCTCCCAATTGCTGCAGCTACAATCTACCCACTCCAGCTTAACCCAACAGTGTCTCTGACCCACTGTGTGTTAGAAAAGGGCCACCTGCATTTTAGTCACTCCCTAAACCATCTCCAGTAATGAGGAGGCTGGTAACAGCCTTAAACAGCATATGTTAAAATTCATTTATCTGTCAGCCCAGCTTCCAAGGCTGCAGGTGCTGTGCTGCTCTTGTGCACTTAGAGGCTGCAAGCCGAGTTTCAGCTCTCAGACATGTTCTATTTACCATGATTCCCAGATGCAGCATCAGTGAACACCCCGGCATCCCTCCTCGCTTCCTCAGCATGCCAGGGAAGGAGAATATGTCTAGACAGAAGGCAAGGATGAAGCTAGGGATGATTTTTCCTTCAGCAAACCCCTTGATGGCTTTCAGCACAGGAATGACAGCTAGGGATTTATGGCTAGGTTGCCAAGTCCTAGCAGACAGACACCTTACTCAGGTGCTTTTGTGGGCTTGGGAGACATAGGAGACAGCTGCTGAAACAGCACGGCGTGGGAGGATGTGTTTAGTCAGAGCTTCGTGAAGCACATTCCTGAATGTTTATAGCATTCACATTGGACTGTGCAATTTATGGCCACTAAGGCTGGATACGAGCGTTCCTGCAGACAGACACGCGCAAGAACTGAGCCTGAGCAGCAGCTGACTTCGCTGGAGATTGAGCCCAATGTCCTGAGCACTTGGCTTTGCTATTTATTTATTAGCACTTGAATTTGGCACTGTGAACTTCATCTTTTGTTAGTAACCAGAGCGCTCCATGTGAATAAACAGGAGAACCATGGAATCATAGAAAGGTTTGGGTTGGAAAGGACCTTAAGCGCATCCAGTTCCAGCCCCCTGCCATGGGGTTGGATACCTCCCACTAGACCATGTCACCCCATGCTCTGTCCAACCTGGCCTTGAACACTGCCAGGGATGGAGCATTTACCACTCTTCGACAACTCTTAACTATTGCTGTAGGGCAAGCTGCAAACACAGAACAGGGCACACGTGAGTTTAGACCAACGAACTTCATTGGCTGACTAATGTTATTTAGAACTTCATTGGCTGACTAATGTTATTTAGAACTTCATTGGTTGACTAGTTATTCAGAAACTATAGCAGCACAACCTAACAAACAGCCCTGGCAACCAAAGATCCAGTAGCAGAGGCCTGGTTTGGTATGCAGATACACTATAAAGCCAAAATGGCACTTGTTTCATTATGTTTCTGGAATATAGTGAATTTTCCTCCACTTATAAAAGAGCAGAGAGTAACAAATTTTGATGACTGTAATTAGCCTCCCATCTTAGTTTTGTGGCTTTTCTGTTTAATGGTTCTTCTCCAGGAAAACCAGTTCAACAAGGGCTCAACTCTGGCTTGAAAACCTGACTAACTTCTAAAGGAGGCACTAATACAGCCTGGATAACCACGGACAGATAGGGCATAACTGGAAGGGAACCAAAGAACGCAGAGAAAACAGCCTTAAGGGACAGTTATTTGTACCAGGGAAGCTCTTTCCTTCAGCTGCAACGCAGAACTCAAACTCCTTACCCATGATTAATGCATTCACACTTCTAAAAACATGGGACACTTTGACTATGAAGTGAATTTTCAGAAGATATACAACAATATCCATTAAATGCTTTGTGTTACAAAGAAAGACTGGGTCTCCATCACGCTTTGCACTTCTTCCAGTCCTCCGTTCAACATTCCTGTGCCGTTAAAACTGGAACTTTTGAGTGCCCAGGCTGTATTTGAAGACATTAGCTTCTAAGCAAGCCAAGCTGGTAATGGTTTAGGTAAGTTTTCATAAGTCTATGTAAGATTACATAGGCCATTGGCAGGGTCAGATATTTCCACATCTGCCTGACAGTCCGTGCACCAACTACCAGCAACACTGGATGGTAGCGTGCCATGGCCTACGGGCAGAGCACTGGTGGCAACCAGTGGGTGCTTCATCTTGTGGCTTATTAGCCTGACATGCACTCAGCCTAAATTAGCTGCCTAACTGCTCTAGGAGTAACAGAGGGAGAACACGAGGCAGTTCATCCCTTTTGACTTACCTTAGCACACAGCTCTTAAGACAACTAAACTTAACACCTTGCTTTTATCTAGCTTGAGTTAGACAGGGTGTGCTTGGGACTGCCACCAATACAACAGGAACTTTCAGGTAACTCAAAATGGCTTTAAGCTTGTCGTACCCTTCTTGACATTGCCCTGCTTTGCTGTCAAATTCACTGTCTGAAGCAAGCCTTCCAGACTAACTGGCTGTGCAGGTGAAAGGAAGATTTGCAACCCATTGCATTAACTCAAGGCTAAAGAGATCCTTAAAGCACTGCTGTTTGTGCCCAAAACCACATTACATCCCTTCCAAATGTTGCCTAACCCCTAGACTAGCAAGATCCCCCTGTTCTGCTGTAACTTGCAGAGAGGTTACCATACACTTATGCTGGTGCCACATCACCATACAAGAAGGCACTTGAGCTTTTACTGCTACTTCAGATCAATTTGTTTTGCTTACAGATTTACATTCAGGGGGGTAAATTTAGGGGGTTTTGGCAGATTTAACCTGTATCTTTCTTGAAGTGACACACAAAGAGTTCTTTTCAATGTCCCCCAGTACGCTTCTTATCCTTGAATTACTGAAATAAGCACTCCATCTTGGAGGAATTTGAATTCCTTGAGGTCAGAGGAACTGGGCATTTATTCAGTTAACATATTATTATAGCGGTACCATCGCTCCTGCAATTAGAAGTCGTCTTCAGTCTGTTAGATCATCAGAACAACAATATTCTGCATGATTTCAGATTAAAGCCTGTGATGTGCTCTAATTGCCAGGAAATCAGTTCTCTTTATTAGAAATATTTCCTTAGGTCAGTGCTCAAGACTCCCAGGATGGTTTGCATTGCCAAGACAAATGACTGCATTCAAATCTGTAAGCAGATTTAGCATCCCTCTTCCAAACAGCACTGTCCTGCTGCCTGACCCCTACCATGCCAGTAAATCCCATGTGTCTTTCAGAACTCATGTGTCGCCCTGTGAAAGCTGGGAACAATCAGTTGCAAATATAGACTCGGGGGCCTCATGAGTCAGCCATGTACTTATATAGCTCTTATCTCTCTGTGGGGGAGAGGAAGGTATAAACAAAGGATCCCTTCCATTTCTTCAGACTCACCCAGAGTCTGATATACAATACAGCAAGTTCCCTAGAGCATCCACTGAGAAAGTTCTTCTCTGCCATCCTCATGAAGAGCTGCCCATGAAGCTGGTGGGAGCCAGCCCTTTGCATTTTGAGTGCACATGGAGAACCGAGTAGGCGTTAATACTTGGCAGTGATCACAATCTACCCATGGTTTCTGAGAGTCACAGATAAACACTGGGTCCTAATGGTTAAAACTGTCTTAGTCCCCTTCCTTCTCACCCCAGCACCTGCTGAAGTGCTCAGGAAAATAGAGCTCCTATAGACAATCCACGCCGTGCCCAGGCACTTGCCCTTTTGACTCCAAATCACTCCCAAGGCCTTCAGAAATCCTCAGCCCCACCACCTCAACCAGCACCTCTAAATGAAGCTGTACCTACCATTCTGATAGATTCAGAGTCCTGCCTGGCAAGCAAGAGGCTGGTTTAAAACATGAAGGTCAGTTGGTCAATAGCCATTTACACCAGGTTGGTCCTTTGAACAGCATCGGACCACGCTGTCCAGATGTTAGCTTGGATGCTCCTGCCTCCACTGCCTGAATGGTGAGTGAGGGGCTTTCTCCTGCCTCCCCCAGGTCCTCCTGCTGTGCAGGTGTTCACGTTTGTCCTTAAAACCTCTACTTATTCTCTGCATACACATGAAAGAAGGCCAAGGCATAGCAAACCTCACCAGAAAGTGCGGATTTGGGGAGAGCAGAAGCACTGGGAAATTCAATTTGAATCTAATTGTTTCAAGTCCCACAAAGGGAGCAATTTTAAACTTTTTTCAGTGTTTGAAACGTTCATTTTCAACTTAAGGAGTATTTAATTCCTTTCAACACTTCATTCTGAGATAGCGTTTCTCATTTCGAAAGCATCCCAAGTTACAAGCAAAAGAGCA